TATATATATATATATATATAAATTTATACAGTAATGCATCGTGTAAAAAATGGAAAAAGATATTCTGCAGTTTTTAATATTTTTGTTGTATTGATTTTAATAATTAAAACGACTTAAACAAATGTATTTCTTATATAATTATATTTTAGATACAATTAGTCTAATAATGTAGTTCGTAAAGTCACTAAATTAAATATAAACAATATTTGTATACACGATGAAAATCCAAATGGTCATCATCGTTACTGTTTCAAATAATGTTTGCGGATTTCCTGATTAAACATTGTGGATCATTTATCTCAACTGCGAGGTAGACTAGCGGTTTTCATGTCAAAGGCGTATTTACTGCGTTGCAAGGAACGTAAGATTTGCTCAATCGTTAATAGGATCTCGTCTTAAGAGGGGCTTCTGTTAAACTTCAAACGATCATATTTCTTTCCCCTTCTTCGATTTTCAATCTTTTGCTTATGTTATGTCTTGATGAAATGTTTACATAATATTTATAACATCCTTCACTTGAGAATTATTTGAATAATTACTAAGTCTAATGATATTTCAAGTCCTTGAATTTATTATCGAATATCTGCGAATAGTACTCGGTTTTTTATTAGTCAATTTAATAATAAAAATTAATAAGAATTTTTTAGCATTTGCTGTAAATTTTATACGCATTTTAACAAGAATCTGATGCCGAACGATGTGTTAAGCATTGAAACAGCATTTATTCTTAGTGTTGTTACAAGCACTTAACTCACTATATGCGATATTTATATGTGTATATACAAACGTGTGCACGCTCTTGACAATATTGCCCATTCTTTCATCGTATTTTATCGAGTTTTATTCGCGATATATCACGCTATAAATGTCTTACAAATTCTAATAAAAAATGATTGACATGTCAAAAACATTTATTAAAAAGCATCTGATTGTTTTTTTTATCGAGAATTTAATTAAATTTACAATTGTTCAGTTTTTGATGTAGAAAATTAAAAAGAATTTGAGAAGTAAAATTTTGAACATATAAATACTAACAATAAGTAGTCTTAATGACTGTCAATTTTATAAGCGCATTTAATATAAAATGTAATTATCAATTTTTAATATTAAAAGGCAAATATGTTTGGAGTAAATAAATATAACAAATATTTACTGAAAGAAGAATATTAAATTAATAAAATGCATATTAATATAATAAATACATTGACATGAACTGCATGGGACACATAATGGACTTCTCAATGTATCATTGATGATGTCAAAGACTTTTGCAAGCAAATAGTAAAATTCGACCATAATAAGAATAGGTTGCGCAGAGATCATGGATGATTAATGAAGAAAATGACGTCACGCATGCTAGAATGCGATCCTCTGCCTTCGCATCTCACCTTCCCCTCCTTCCCCCCATGATGTCGCATAGCACTGATTCCACACACGCCAAATCAGGTCAATCAATTGAACGCATTGGTTTCCATAGGAATTGGAGAATATTTGTTTACTAGTGCTTCTCTCGTTACATATATGTACCGATGTGAACTTATAATAGCGCCCAACACTTTATCAAAAATAAAAAATTAATACCGTAGCGCGTTTGTACATTGTTTGTACTTGTTTGTACCGATCATTATTTCGTATGTACCTCTAACAGTTAAACAGAAAGTGAAAAATAAAAAATGGCCAGCGCGTAACTTTAAGATTTTTTAATTTTACTTATGCCAGTCGAAAGAGAATCGTTTATACTCGTTTGTACCTCTTTTATTTTCCTTTGTACCTCAAAAGGAGATACATTTTTCAATTTTTGCGCAACCCCTATATAGTGAAATTAGTGATTTTTCAAGATCGAAATGGCAACAACGACATTCGAAAAAGAATCGTTTGTACCTCTCTTACTTTCGTTTGTACCTCAAAGGGTTCAAAGATACAGCGATTTCAAAATTACGGAAATGCGCCAAGAGGGGAAGTCAACTATTTTAAAAGATATCGAAATAGGACCAACGACATTCGAAAGAAAATTGTTTGTACCCGTTTGTACCTCTCTTACTTTTGTTTGTACCTCAAAGGACCCAGAGATTTAATGTTTTGACGAATTTTTGAAATATTGAAACACACTATGTCTCCAAACCTTTATCTTTTTGATATCTTCCTTTTCGATATCCTTTTCAATATCTTTTGGAATGGTAGACCTCCCTTCTTAACGCATTTCTGAAATTTTGAAATCGCTGTATCTCCGAATCCTTTCGGATACAAACAAAAATAAGAGAAGTACAAACGGGTACAAACGATTCTCTTTCAAATGGCATAAATGAAATTAAAACACTCTCAAAATTGCGCGCTGGCCATTTTTTTATTTTTCACTTTTTGTTTAACTGTTTGAAGTACAAACGCGCTACAATACTAATTTTTATTTTTGATAAAGTTGGGCTTACATCCCAGGTTTACATCGGTCACGTACGCAAATCGTTGCATGATCCTCTCATGCAATTGAACATTTTGAAAAATTTTCGTAAAAACTTTTATAAATATCTTTTACTATAAAATATCTTTTTTTTTTTACAAAAAGTCATTTTTCGTCAATTAATTATATCTCTTAATTATTTTAAATTATCGATCATTTTCAATTGTATTGCGACTGATTATGTAATGTGCCGCAATCTTCGGTCGGGATTAAATTTAATGTTGCTCATACATTTAAATGTAAAAACTTACATTATTGCCATAAAATGAACAGGATAATAGATTATGTTTATAAACTCGAAAACTAGATTAATTAATTTTTTTCTACTTTAACGTATTTTTATTTCACGGATTGAATTTTTCTTACTTTTTAAATTATTGCTATTTACCATTTATTTTTTATTTTTAATTTACTATTGTTTACCACTTATTTTCTATTTTTTATCATTTAGCTTAAAAAGAAATACAGGATGCTATCATAAAAAAGCTGTTTTATAATACAAGAAAATTCAGGTACTATCAGTTTCTACTTTTTATTTTTTACATAAAACACAACAAAAAAATATACATTATTTGCAAAAACAAAGTCTCTAAATCCATAAAATGAAAACAACCATTTAATCAGTGTGACGGAAGGACGTGTATTGCATATATAAGGCGCTTTAATCAACAGACAGTGCAACATCCGTATTTGTTAATCGTAGTGCGCCGGAGGTACAGTTAGAAAGCTTTTCTTTTTTTTGCGATGCGGCTTTTGTTCACCTACGCACTTATGTCGCATTGCCGGCGTCATTAACGATATCTAACGAGCCTAGATCACAGAGCTTGGGTGGAACAATACGCGAAAGTACATCCATATAAGAGTAAATACGACGGAGGCAAGTAACTACGCGCGTTTCCGGTTGTGTGACACGTAGCGACATAGCGATGCGTGCACAAGTGAACTTTTACGGAGACCGTTTGCTTCTTGTTAATATTTTGAGTGCAATTTGTAATTGTCAAGATTTGTTCCAAAAACCGCTCTACATCGCTCTGTTCTTAGAATATTCGGACAGCTATATACAAATCGTTTTTAATAAATTAGATGGCTTTCAAACTAAAAATATTAATTTTGATACTCAAAATATAATTATTTTTTGATAGCAATTATAATTATCACAAAAGTTATTGTTATCAATTCCTATTTTAATTCTCTTAATTTCGATAAAATTTTGAATGATCTAATTGTAAGAATACGAGAGATAAAGAATTTCGAATAAAAGAATACGATAAAGCGTTATAGGTACTTAATCTTTTATTAACCTTCTCTCTGTACAAAAATAAATATTTTAAAAAAACTTTGGAAATTTTTTATTTATATTTTTATTAACCTGAAGTGTATTTTCACCCTTATACACAGAGAGAAAGTTGATAAAAAATGAAAATCACTATATGTATCACTTAAAATAATTGTATGTGCTGAAATTACAATATGTGCTATTTTGTATTGCAGAAACAAAACATATTGGTTCGCCAATTAGAAGAGGAGCTCAGAATGAGGGTACGGGGGCCGAGCGTCGAGATGCAGCAACAAATGGAAGTTTTGTACAATGAGAACGAGCATCTGACTCGCGAAATTGCCATACTTCGTGATACGATAAAGGTGAACATTGATGTTTAGATGTCATAGATTATTTTTAAATGTGCATTTTTCAATGCACTTATTTTAACAACTTTTTTTCGTGCAAAATTATTCCCGCATAATGACGGTGCTATAATGCGCCGTTTTTCACATAGTTGAATTTTCCCGAGAGAAAATTAATTTACAAGATTAGTCTTAATGAACGAGACTAGGTCGGTTTTTCACATCTTACGCCGAATATAATTCAGTCTTAGCCTTAAAATAGAATAGCGCACACCACCAGGAAGATTGGAACGTTGCTGGAATAATCACGCCGAAGGGGGATCCCATTATAACTCGGGAATAATAGGGATAAGTGCGCTAAATGGAAGTAAAATAGACGAGACTCTTCAGAGGGTCGATGCATGAAAGAGCCGCGCAAACGCCTCCTAGATCGTCTTTCTCTTCTTTTTCTTGTTTTCTCTTTTCTCGCCGACAGCCTCGAGAGTTTTTCTGATATTTGTGAAAATTTTCGCGCCAGATATATTGGACTTTGCGCTATCTTCCAATCTCCTGACACCGCTGCAGAGGTCTGTCATGTACCCAACATTCCAAACGTAGATATTCAAGAGAAATACTGACTTGTCCAATTTTTTCCTCTTGAATATTCTGAAAACTTTATTAACTTTATTTATTTCATTTAATTAATAATGCTTCTATTGATAAAATTAAATATATAAAATTCATTTCTAAAACAATGTAAATGTAACACAAGGATATATGAGCAAAAGCCAGATTACAATTGCTAAAACGTAATCATATTTCAAATAAAATAAAATAAAACATACGTTTTGACCCAACAATTAGGTCATTATTAATGTTGTTCCGATAAATATAACAATAGTTACGTCTTAATGGTTATACATTTGCAAGTTGAACCCTTTATATTCTAATAGCTATAATTACATACAATTAATCTAGTTAAACAAAATAAAAATACAATACGCAATTTAGCATACGAACCCTGCATGTTCTCTTTATTTTCATAAATGTCAGTCGGTGTAGAATACATAATTGAAAGAGAGGTCGCATAATTAGCTTACAATTCAAAAAGGACTAGCACATTTCAATAGTCACCTATTTATGATGTGTTCATAAGATAACTTTATAAAATAAAAGATAGAGGTATAAATTAGTGTGAAATCTGTAAGTATGTATTACATAATAAACGATAAAAGTGTAAAAAATTCTTATAAAATCTATAAGTATATAGTAAAATTATTTTATTATAAAAACTATGTTGTGTTCAATAAAATTGTAAGAAAGAGTTTAAAAAACTTCCATTGATCTTGTACATTTCAGTATATGTACATATATTATAATTTTAAAGTAAAACGATTTAATAGCAATTTTTATAACAAGTAATCGGTAATTGCAATCTTCTGTATTTGATGATAATTTATATCGTAATAATTTATTTTGTTAATAACACATTATCATTTTGTAGAAATTTTACCGAATCTGGAGAAGATAACTTTGATGTAAAATCGGTTTGTGTTTCTCGTGAAAGCACGCGATCATAAATAAAATAATCATACGTTTGCAAAATAATCCGTTCGGCGGTATGTGCCGTGGTTTATTGGCTTCTTGTACGCTGTACGGTGCTCGCAGACCCGAAATAGACGAGGGGTTTAGGTCGCTTTCGAGGTAAACGACCGATTGTCTGCACGATCCAGAAACCTCCGGAAATCTTGGCAGTAACGTGAATATCAACCTCGTCGCAATAAATTTGTTATGTTCACCACTTATGGCGTCGAAAAACAAGCGTTGCTGCGTGTAAGGCTGCGTGTAATGTCGAATCGATATATAAGCAGACACGATATGGGAGTGTCACGTTCCACTCGTTTAAAAGCAGTATGATAGATATGAATCTTTTTTTAGAAAACATTATATTTACGTACAAGAAATATTTTATTTTTACTGCAAGATAAGTAGTTGATAATAGATGCAATTCGCGTACGTAATAAGTTAAAGAAAATGTTATCTCGGAGATATTCTTCAGAAAATAATCTAATCTCGCGCAAGAAGCGTAGTAATATTTGCTTGTAAGTATGACCGAAATGTCGCAGACGGGTCAAACGGGAAGCAACTGGTCGCCTTTGGCTATTCGCCAGTTTATGCACTCGGTTTCTCGTATCTCTATAAATTCTCATTATCGAATCTAATTTGGCCAAGTCGAAATTTTTAAAAACATCTAAGACACTTAATGGCAATACAACGTTCTCATTTTATTAACTTTCATAACTTTGAAAGATTCAGTATATGATTTTCTAATGTTATTTATTAGCCCAATTTTATCATGTAATTTTATTTATTATTTAATATATTAATAATTAATAACGTTAGTATTTATACCTACAGCTTTTGCTGAAATTCGTTGATAATATATTTTAACATTTGATTATATTTTTATTTTGACTCAACATGTCCCAAGAGTTTCATTCTCTAAGACTGACTGTAATTACCGGCTCTCCATTAGCAACAGCTACACTCTAGCTATTTTGAAGTCAAACTTACCGGCAATACATGTATTTTTTAAAGAGCATTCCAACTAACACATTTACAACTGTGGAACTTTGCGAAGGTTTACATTAAGAGAGATAATTGAATTAATTATCGAATGTCAGCCGACATCCCGAACGTAACATTCGGGAATTCTCGTATTTTCAGAGTGCATGGTATCTACTCGCAGGTAATATCGTACGCGAGTATTCCTCTTGCACAGCGGGGAAAGCCGGTAGAAGGCCAGCAGCGGGTGTCTAATTCCAGACTAATTACTTTCCCGCCGTCAAAGAGGCGTGCTAAATTCGTTATGCGGGCCCCAAGCGGTGGCATCCATCGTTGACGGCTACTAAAATCAAGCATATTAGACATATAGCTGCCAACGTACCATCGGTTATCATAAAAATAATACTGTGTTAAAAGTGACGAAATTCCGTAAAAATATTTTGCGCCATTAACATTTTGTATAGTAAATTCTCATTATCCTATTGGAATGTTAATCTTCTTTTAAAATGAAGGAGCACATCGACATGATGATAAATTAAATCTCTCTCTATTCAGTTTCGAAGATTGAGTTTAGTGTATTTTTGGAAAAAGGAATAACACATGGGCTGAAAAGTCCCGAGCCTAACAAAGAAAACACGGTTTTTTTCGTTGAAAGTTAGTTTTATTCATCGACGTAATTTCCATCAAGAACAATGCAATCATTCCAGCGCCGCTCTAACATTTCAATACCACTTTTGTAGAACGATTTATCTTTTGCCTCAAAATAGGCCTCAGTTTCAGCGATAACCTCTTCATTCGAGCGAAATTTCTTACCGGCGAGCATTTTCTTTAGGTCTGCGAACAGCCAGTAGTCGCTGGGAGCCAAATCTGGCGAATACGGTGGATGTGGGAGCAATTCGAAGTTCAATTCATATAATTTTGCCATTGTTTTGATTGACTTGTGACACGGTGCGTTGTCTTGATGAAACAAAAGTTGCGTCACTCTTAGCACAATAACTCACAAAGTAATGAATATCATGAAATTTTAACAGCTGTCTTTTGAAGATTAGCACACACTGAAAAAGAGGTGAATGTAATAAAACTAGAGCCATTTCTGTGTTAGGCTCGGGATTTTTCAGCCCATGTGTTATGTATTTTTATACACATGAGTTGATATTTAAAGTAACTTTTTAAAAAGAAAATTGGATAATTCTAAAATTCATCAAAGAGTCTATTTCTAAATTATTTTAAAATTTATTTGTATTTAGTATAAAGACGAGAAATTTATAAATAAGCGCTAATATCTTTTTAATGTGCGTGTCATTATGTGATGTGTTGGCTCTTTGAACCTTGTGATTCCGGTAGTACCGTTTACAGATGCTGAAATAATTTTGTAGGCTTAATATAGTTAGTAACATTTTGAGCTCAACTGAGTTGCCCTATTATCTCTAATGAAGTCTTAATTTAGACTTCACAACCGATTAAGTTTTATGATGATCTTAGCTTATATTTTTAATGTGTATTATATGAATTTAAATTGACACAGAAAAATACAATTTATAATATTTTAAAAGCATCTACGTAATATGATAAAATAAGTCAGAAATATTTAAATTTCTGTCATTTGACGTAACTCAGTTTACGGAAATTTTTATTATGTGCGATATAATTGAATCTAAATTGTTTATGCAAATATTAAAAAAGAATTGAAATTGTTTAAGAATAAAAATATTAAGAAAAGAATTGCGATTTTTTAATGATTATTAAATTAATGTAAATGTTTAATAAAACAGTAATAAAATAATAATAATTTGACGACAAATCGTTAAAGAAAACAATCATAATTATTGCAATTTCTTTACCTTTAATTAATCTTGTTAATTTTTTTCTATTGTAGGAGCTGGAATTAAGAATAGAAACGCAAAAACAGACGCTGCAGGCTCGTGATGAGAGTATCAAGAAGCTCCTCGAGATGCTCCAGAATAAGGGGATGGGTGAGACATGCTTGCAATTTTTTAAATTAATTATTTTAATATTAATTAATTATTTTAACACCGCATTTTACAAACAAAAATTTACATGTATGTGTGATCATAAGATAGATTAAAGAAATCATAAGAATTCATTAGTTAAATCAAATAGAAAAGACGGATTTAGATTTTATTATAGAAAATTATAATAATATATCATAATGACTCACTGTGAACAACAATAGCCATTTTTT